GTGTGTGTGTGTCTGTCAGTGCGTGCACGCGCGCGTGTGTGTGTGTGCGCGCGCGTGTCTGTGTGTGTGTGTGTGTGTGTGCATGTGCGCGCGTTCGTGATGGTGGTTAGATTTGTGAGAGCGTGCAAGTCTAAACACTTTAAATAGATGTATTCCTTTCCCAATCGCTATTCCCGATACCAAACATGCGATTTAATATCGATCAAAAAACAAACTCGACGATCGCATAACATGATATCGATAGAAACCATTGTGTACGAAAAATGCTATTTATTGCGGTATACAGACATGGGGAATTTTCATATACAATAGTTAAATATTCCGGACCGCACGCGAGGACAGTAGCGTACAGGAAATCGTGGTCCAGTAAAATAACCTGTGCACGTTGATTTTTCTTTGCCTATATACGGATGACTATGAAAGTTGCGGACTGTCGGTCGCACGATAGGCTGGGGGCACCCTGGCCGTAGCTAACCCTCCGCGTGTGGCTAGCGGACTGTCATGATGAGTGGGACTCGCTCTGAGACCAGAGACATGGGCGTGGAAGCACATCTGACTCGTTCGTCTTGTCTCACTCGCCATCTACACTCAGCAACCTCTCGGAGGAACCGCACGCCGACCGGATCTGTGTGCACCGTTATCTAAGTTCTTGCCTCTGCCTAGCAGTCGGTAGCGTGCCACTAGCGGCCGTAACGCTGGGTGGACCAGTGCCGCACGCCCATCAGCGAGCATGGATCAACGGTTGGATAAATAAGTTCACTTTCCTCCCTCTCACATAACAGCTAAATTTTCAATTATCATAAACTCAAAATATGCACACAGATATGCGATTCTGCAGAACCCACACCCAATAAAATTAAAAATACACGAGGACGATCAGAGAGACGAGATGTTTGTGTTGGCGTGTGGTGACGTCACGTTTACCAGTCATCCTTCTTCTTTTGGCCCGGGGGTGGTGCCATGATGTGATTGATGAATGCTGCGGGAGAGAACAAGAAACGATAATAGATTAATTATTATAATAATAATAATAATAATAATAATAGAACAAATAATAGTCAATAAATATGAGAGAATAGCAAACGACACACGTTTAGTGACGGTGACGACGTCGTGGAAATCACGAACTAATATGAAAGAACTAATTTATTGGTTCGATTTTCAACCTTACTGCTTAGAAACCTTTTTTTAATTAGCTTAACGATAATACAGGTTTAAAACGGTGTCGTACAAACGGAATACAACATTAAAAGTTTTGATTGTTGTCCCGGAGTTAACCGACGTTACTATATCATTACTGTAGTGCTAATATACGTATTAAGTATAATGTTAATATGATGCTAATGTCAATATTACTATAATATTATACCATAATGCTCTCACGCGTCCGCGATGTCTTGTGGTTAAATTCACTCGAGCACATATACCGCTGTACTCAGCGCTATGACGACGTTAATCAAAAAACAACAACACGTTAAACAATATAACAATACTGATAAGCAATCTCACCGTCGATAGAAACGTTTCCATCTGAGTCTTCCAGTCCCTTCAAGATGTCCTCAGCCTCTTTGTCCGTCAGCCGCTCGCCTGCAATCACAAACGCAGCCATTAAAAATCATAAAATAAAATAAAATAATTCAGTTTACAAATTAAAGAAATTAACTAAAACAAATTAAAAGATAAAATCACCGCCCTTTACAGACATCTAGTCCAGCGATAGTGAACAAGAAAGATAATAGCGCCAGAGGAGAATATTGGCAACAAATGTACGGTATGCTATGGCCTCGCACACAGAGTGACCATGGTTTTCAGAAGAGCTATAAAATTTGTTCTAGCAGTAAAGGTAGCGTACAGCAGTAAAAACCTAGTAGCTGCTAAGTAGAACGCGAAGTTTCTAGTTCACTAATGCTATTAAGAGCACTCATAAACTGTTGACGTACCCTCGATGCTATAACCGTTGTGTAACCGGCTACTGCGATAACAACGATTGCTTCGTGGCTTTTATCGTGATACGCGAGGCGTGTAAAACACACGCCTTGTTTCTGGTTTCGTATACCGCACGACAAGTGCGTAGCTGAGCCTCACACACCGAGGTCCGCTTACCTAGTGTCTGTAGCACGTGTTGCAACTCAGCTCCCAAGATCATTTCCTTCTCCTCCTTGTCGTACACCTACACACACACACACAGAAGAAAAATGTTTGTTTGATTCTGTTCGTATACACCTATACACACAAAGAGAGAGAGAAGTAGAGGGAGAAGGAGAGAGCGAAGGAGAGAGAAGGGAGGAAAGAGAAAGCGAGAGACAACGTGTGCGAGAAAGAGAGAGGGGAAGAAAGAAAGAAAGATAGAGAGAAAGAGAGAAAGAGAGAGAGGGAACTATTTGTAACGTAGCTATATACATACACACAAACGAGCATTTGTTTAGTTCTTGTAGACAAAATATTACCAGCATTCCAATCAGGATACGCATGATTTAATTATTGTATTCATCAACTGACAATTCGAAATTTTAGAAAAAGGTTTCTAAGACTCGTTCTGCTGCAATGCATGATCTGCCAAAAATTATCATGTAAAGACACCGAGTAATAAATTTAATGTTATAGCAGAAATAATGGTAACGAGACGCGGATATGGTAATTTACGCGGAATAGGTAGTAGCCCTGAGTATCGAACGTTTTTTTTCAAAGTCGCTTACCTTCAGGCCTTCGTAGAAGTCTGCGTACGTTCCTACGTCTTTCACTTCCTTTGCTTGCGTGTACATGGGCAAGAAATCCTCGACAGCAATTCTCTTGGAGCCTGTATCAAAGCGTAAAGCAGTGTCTTTTTTATTATGCATATATACTTCCAGTATTATATATATATATATATTAATCCGATCGCACACGAAACATTTATAAATATTATGCCCATTACATTACATTCCTAGCGCCGCATCTGTTTCCATCCAGATGCACAGAGTTTCAGAGAGGCAGCTGCTTACAGCTGCTATACGCATGCACGTGTTACGCAGCATAGAAACATTAGCATAAGAAATGTTGTTGGCATCGCAACGTGTAGTAGTAACTTTATGATGTGACCCGTAATAAACCCGGTTAAAGATCCGCGTGAAACGATGCCAGGTCGCATGTGCCTCAAGGGGCAATTCCACAACTGCCCGCCCTCACAGTTAAACTTCATCCTCGACTTAAAATCTAATCAATACTAATATTATATAATTGTTATATATATAGAGCATTATGTATAATGTTAACATTTAATACATAATGTTATATATTATTACATATTTAATCTATATAGTGTGAGCATTCCTGATGACGCCTAACGAGGCAGAGGGTGGTTAACGTTATTACAATCGATAAACATGGTTACAACGGCCGACGCTAGGTGGCGCTGTACACTGACCTGCGACGGCGCCGTCGGTGACCTTCTTGACGGTCAGGTTGGTGGGGTTCAGGTTTAGGGCGCGAAGCAGGTTGCCCACGTCACCGATGTCGATCTTATCATCTCCCTTCCTGTCAAAGACGAGGAACGCCTCCTTGATCTCTGTAACCATAGCAACAACGGCATCTCATGAACACGCATTCGCTCAATATGATTGTGAAAGTACATGTATGCATTTACATGCATAATATATAGATATAGATATATATATATATATATATATATAATATACATATATAATAGCTTTGGTATAATTTAATAGTTTCTTATCGTAATGTTTATTAGGGATAATGCCTAACTGTTGCAGAATGGAGAGATTCGATTGTTTTATGCGGTGACTTGCGCTGGTGTATATTTTAACTCGATGGTTGTGTACCGTGCGAATTGTGTGTGTGCGTGTGTGTGTGTGTGTGTGTGTGGGTGTGGGTGCGTGCGTGCGTGTGTGCGTGTGTTTGCTTGGATTCACGGCCTGCCTTGCACTGCATACGCGTGCCGCACGCACGTTTAGAGTATATATTTAGGGTATATATATATACAGCCCGCGATGCCGTATTGCACGCGCCGATCCCGCAGCCGCAGATGCAGACCTGGCTATTTTCGGCAGCCTCTCTTGTGGCCCGCTGGCTGCTGTTGCTTATACAGCATGCCGCCGCATGCTTCCTCGCGGAAACCATACCGAGTCTCCATCTGCACACGCTAATCGCGAATCTGAGCATCTCTCCCCCTCACCCAACCCACTCCCCCACCCCCCGCTCGCCATCACTTGGTTCCGCACAGCGGGGTAACTGAAGTTTTTCACACATTCACGCTCAAAAACAATGGCGCTCTGCAGCGGCCGCTATTGCTATAGTCCCGTGGGTGTCCCTATTGCAGCAGCCTCCGTGATTGAGAACAACGCTGGCTGCTTAGCAACGCACCATCTTTTCGATTACAGATGCTACGGCGACTGGAAACTCGCAGAAGCTGAGTCTATATTTATACAGGCGATGACATAATATTAAAATAGAATTTCCCCCACGTCGTCGTTGTTCGATCAGCACGGATATGGAGAAGAGTGCCATCTACTATTATATGCTTAATATTTACTGCTAAATCTGCTGCGGGGTGACTAAAGGTTGTTTGTGACCGATCAGAACAGACGCACCTTTCGGTACAAATTAGTAAAATTTCTAGACGCGTGAGAAATGTTACAAGGAAGAGAAGGGAGGAAGGAAGGAAGGAAACTTCGTATGCTGAATGTTTTAGTCGACTGGCCGGTGGTCCAGTTAATCCAAAACACCTGGCAACATACATTCATCACTGTCCATCTCTAACACATAGGTCGCGTAACATTGAGGCCTATTACGGAAACCGTTCCCGAATTATTTGCGCTATATTCCCGAAAGATGTCTTCCTTCTTCCTCCCGCTCTCTTTCGCTTCATCTTGATCCCCACGCACCGGTATCTGGATTAACGTCCCTCGCTATTTCCGTTTCCGGTGCCCGTGCACGCTGATGCTAGCGGCATGACCGTGAACCACGGCGGCGCTATACGCGCGCGCACACACGCTCCGTACCCTATAAGGCAATCTCTTGGGCCCGCATCCAAGCCGCGGTATCAGCTATATTTAGCTCTCGCTCACTACCGCCGTCTTCGCGCAATCCTCGCCAGGCGGCGCTCGCGACGCGCCATGACGTCATGAGCTCTCTTTCCATATTTGTCTCGTGACCTGTGAAATCGGAGCCGGGCTGTTTTGCTCGGCGGCTCGGTAGGCGAGGATAGCGCGTGCCGTGCGGCGTATGCAAAGCATCTCGACAACCTCTAGCGCGTTGTTGTGCTACCAAAAACGTAGCGCCGTTTCAACTGTTGTACTCATTCCTTCCCCCCGTCGCGTGGGGGCGCCGCTGTAGCTGCAGAGTTATTCAATTACTATCTTATTTCACGTCCGTTTTGCACAATAAACTCGAGCAGCTTATCTGGAATTGAAACAGCCAAACCGATGACGTCATCGAAGCTGAGTGGCAGCTAATGATGGAACGCAGAAAAATTACAAAAGTAGCGGATAACTCATGCGCTTTTTTTTTACACTAAGAGCTCTACAGTAGTAAGATATATGATATCTCTAGCAATTGCTAAATTAACAATGCATCGGGCTCCATTTTGTCGTTATTTTGAATAACTGTCGATATTCGCTAACGAGCGATTGAGAGGGGTGGGGGTGGCGTAAATGAGACTTTGAAAACACGAGTTTCTTCTACTTATGTTATTCAGAAGGCAAGCTTTCGCGGCACTCAATGATCCTAAAGACTAGCTGATAGTTTGACCTCTTTCCGTGTTTTCCTTACTCCCATATCAGTATTCATATGTGTATAAGTGCGAGTCCGTCTATTTTTGTGCATGTTTCTGTGCACGTGTGCGTGCCAGTCTGTGCGTGCGTGCGTGCGTGCGTGTATGTATGGTATGTGAGGGTTACGTGCATGTTTTAACGGCTGTGGCTCTTGAGATACTGCTGCCTGTAATTCCCTGCTAGCCCTGATACAGCTACACAGCTATATCTGACAGAAGGTAAGATCGGCTTACACTTAGCAGCCGCCGATAGCAGCACTAAAATAGTCGCCATTCAGCTTCCTGGAACCCGCTAAGCACACAATGTAGGACACGAGACATAATTGTAAGTCTAGATATTCAACGAAGGAGCAAACGTCCCGCAACGGTAATGAGTTTGATTAAAGTCACTTTAATTAGTGATGGCATTCTGAGATTATCCGTAATAAAAGCGAGAATTTTATTTCTCTTTCGAATAATGGGATATCGAACGCACGTGATTACGTGGACACGCGATTGTTGTAATGTCATCTCATATATACAACAATAATACAATAGAAATATATCGTTTCAAAAGTTAAATATTTTTCCTTTACGAAGTCGATGTTCATTCGTGAATGACATTACTTGGTGTGAGTCCGCGACTCCTGCTTTGAGAAACTATACGTAACGTATCTGTTATTGTTTGCCTGCTATGATTTGCGTAACTGTTAATATTCCATCCTTGATTAGCGGGTGACTGCCACTGCTATTAGAAATAATGATATAATTTAATTCTTCCTGGAGAATGCGCTGTTAATTCAATTGCCACGCCCACACAAATCGTTAAATGTCCTCTTATTACATTAATGCATTCCTAGCAATGCAAAGAAACCTTTACATTGTGCTGCGCGACGCTCCGCCCGAATGGTAGATGACAAAAGAAAAAAAGTAGCCCGAAATCTAGCTAAGATCGAGGTATTTTTGGGGCGCAGCCTCCCTGGAAGATTAACTAAAGCCACGTTCGTTTTGTAGTGGCGCTACGTATTGCTAAGCGTTGCTATATATGGGCGGCTGGGCTGCTCACTAGCGGCCCGGATATTAATAGCAGCCGGGGAGGCTGAGGAGAGACGGAGCACCGAGATACAGTGAATCCCTGCCGCATGGCTTCACCATTAGTTACAAAGTAACTCGCTTGAAATAACCGGCCGATATACAATCTATATAGAGGCGTCAGGACACTCGGTAATAACGAATTTGTCTTCGGAGGCAGAGTGGAGATGGAAGCAGGAATCATATTTTGCGTTTAGCCCAATAAAGAGCACATCCGAATATAGGGTTCCCCCTTAAAATGAATGGTTTGAATAGTAGGAATTCTTCTTACAATTAGCTGATGCAAGTGTAATTTTGAGACTCTGAGTTTGCCTGACGTACTATAAATTTGTACTTGATCTTGTGCTCGAAGTGCACACGAAGAAAAGTGACAGAGCGCTTGGTTTAGTAAACCAGTGATAATTCTCTATCAGTCGTACATTAACGGCATCAGCTTACGCAATGCCGTCCACCAAAGTTATCCAATGGTTCAGGCTGGATATCCGCACACCATCCGTACATCACCCGTACACCATCTGTACACCACCCGTACACCATCCGTATTCCATCCGTACACCATCCGTACATCGCCCGTACATCGCCCGCACACCATTTGTTCAATATCCGTACATCGCCCGTATATTACCCGTACTTCGCCCGTATTTCAGCACAGCACACGGGGCATGCAAGTCGTACACTCACCGTTCATTTCCTCTGTTTCGATCTCAGCCTGCAAGAAGAGCAAAAACAAGAGACGAATATCAAAAACGATTCACCATCGAAAACCTCAAAAAACGAATTCATTTATCATACATTACCCATCCTTCATTCTCTTAGTTTCTCCTTCAGAAGTCACCGGATCCACATGCCGTTCTTGCTTTCATTTAAAACACGTTAACGCCCTTCTAAATTCACAGACGGTCGGCCAGTTACCAAGGTGACAGGTTAACCGGTGACTATAGAAAGGTGTCCACTGCTCGGTCATCCACGGATGGCTCAGGGTTGTCATTGGCTGTTTTCACCGTGTGCGTGTGTGTGTGTGTGTGTGTGTGTGTGTGTGTGTGTGTGTGTGTGTGTGTGTGTGTGTGTATGTGTGTGGTAGAAGAGACTCACCATGATGAGTGATGATGTGCTTCACAGGTCCTGCTTCGCTGCTGGATCTTGCCCCCACAGTGAATGCTCTAGTCGAGGCTGAGTACCATCGCTTTTTCGTACTTATACTTATATACGCTGACGGCGCCTGCGCATGCGCCTGGGCAGCCCGCCGCCCAGCGGTAAACGGCTGGGAACCGGCAAGGCGTTTCGGAACCTACCCGTTAATGGTGTCGCTATTCATATACGGAAGGAAGCTGTGTGTAGGTTCCCGCGCACCCCGTTCGTCGCCCGTGCAGCACGCCCGGTCGGCAGCGTTAGGCGTGCATACGATATTGCTCCCCGCGTCCGTAAACGTAACTGGTTCAGCGTCCTCGCCGTTGCTAGGCGACGCTTTTCCACAGCATCACCTCGTACGATCGCCGAAATTAGTGCCTCAGTAATCCTATATGGCGTATACAGTTTGCGCGGGTTCTCTGATAGGACGACGGCTTTCTCCCGTCGCCACTCGCATGGGCGTGCGCGCACGACAACCGGGGCAGGGGTAGCGTCGTTACTCAGGGGAGGGCGTTCTATGTCTCGTTTTGTACAGCGTATAGTATGTGTTTGGTACGCTAGAACGTCAGTTCGCGTTCCCTCCTATATCTCTCTCTCTCTCTCTTCTCTCTCTCTCTCTCTCTCTCTCTCTCTCTCTCTCTTTCTCTTTATCTCTCTCTCTTTCTCTTTCTCTCTCTCTCTCTCTCTCTCTCTCTTTCTCTTTCTCTCTCTTTCTCTCTCTTTCTCTCTCTTTCTCTCTCTTTCTCTCTCTTTCTCTCTCTT